AAGAAGTTGCTCTGTGTATAGGGCTCCTCACCACTGATCTTTTATGTTTTTAAGGACATTGTAATATTGGTCTGTGTGAGTGGGTTTCTTGTATACATCTTTATCCTACCATCAGCCCTCACAAGCCTTTTTTGTGGCTTTCCAGCGATCCAACTTTTGGCCCACTCTTTGCACTGATCTGAACACAAGATCCAGAGCGTGAGAGACTTCCATGCATCATCTGTGTTACTTTGTTGATTACATCACTGTTAACTGTGTGATCCTCTTTGTGTGAAATCAGTTCAAAGTACTACTGTGCTTAAGTACAGCCTTACAGAGCCATTAGCATGGCTGTAGACACTTATGGCTCATTTCTACTCCCTCTACATACAAAAATAGACATGTCCTTTTCAAATGTTGTAAATACTTACTTACTGTCGTCATACTGCCACGTTAGTATTGATACAGCCAGTAGTTGGCTCTAGAGAGCAGATTCCACAGTTTCACATGACAACAAACAAGGTGACAGTGGAGGTTGTAATATTGTACCTTTCAATGCAGCGTTGTAGACGGCAGTGGTCTGTGTGGCCTGTTCGGTTCTGCTATTATTTAACCTTCTGCTTCTTCTTCTTCTTCTCATACGGTGCTTGAACTACGCTACACTGCCTTCATAATTTTTGGAGGTACTGCTCCGTTTCGTTTAAGCTTTCAGAAAATGTGCGCAAATATGAACAAAATTAATGCAGAGTATGGACAGAAGGGTCCGTCCATCTCCGTATCTAGCACTGAGCATAAATGAGCCCTTAGCAGGCTTTTACATCAAGAACCGGGATCCGAGTGAACTTAACCTATTTCGTTTGATCAGTGTGAACACTGTGTATCATACCTCAGCATGGTTTTTCGACCTCTGCCCAGGTCCACTTGAAAACCTGGTCTGGAGTAAGGTTCATGCTTAGTTGCATACGGTTTGTGCCCAGTGTGGAAACCAACTTTACCAAAAAAACACTATGCCACCAGGCTCTTCCAGAAGTTATGCAGCAGGCGCTGATCTCATCTTCTGAACTGCATGACCATGGATGAAGTGGGTGGGTAAAGTAGGACAGCCCATTCTCATTTTGAAGTCGTCAAATACTGCCGCTTTGTCAGTGATTTCAGCATCAGACACAGAAACCAAAAGGCACCTTTCTCAGCGGTATGATATGCCACTAGATGGCATTAGTTTGTAATGCCACCTGTAACAATGTAATATAAGGAGCTGGAAAGTCTCTATAGGGTAGCCGGGAGGGGAGGTGGCTGTGTCCAACAAACTACGAACATTCGCCCAGGAGCCTGCTGCTCGCTTCCTGTGTGAATGTTGAGCCAAACCATGATGTTTTTTTCAAAACCTAACCATCTGCTTCTGTTGCACTAGGAAATAAACGTAAATGCGAGGTGTTATAACTACATTGCAAGACTGTATGCATTTAACAAGCAAACATTGTACATTTCCTGTGAATACGAAAGTGTATTTTGAAAACACATGATGCATGTAACAAGCATACATTGATGCACTGTCCCAGAATATCAACAGTAGATGCAGGAGGGCACCTAGCACGCACATTTAGACGTCATAGTCCGCCGACAAAGCTGCGAATTTGACTAGTTTGGATGAGAGCAAACTGAGTAGGAAGGCAGGCAAGAAGGTCACTCTTGACAATCGTTTAGCAATAGTAGGCATATTGCAAAGGTCAACCCCATTGTATGGGCTTGGAATCCAGTGATTGGCCGCTTTTCTACACTGTAGCAACAATATCAACAAATGTCATGTAAATGATGACACAAGTGTACAGGACAGCATACCTGATGTGAAAGCCGAGTCGGGGGTGGGGGGGCAACCGTACTCGGAAAAATAACTTGGACTAACTAATATGGAAGCGCCCTTAGTCTCAGTTTCTTTGGCCTCCTTTGAGTAAGTGTTGCTGTGTGGTTTCTGAAGAAATGAAAAAAAAAATTCAAGGTATTGTGTACATATCAGGAGGATGTTGACTTCCAGTTCCAGTAGTTCCTCATTCTTTGGAACATGAAAAAAATAAAAGGAAATGATGCTCACAAATATTTCTCCATGACTCAAACTGATATGAACTCTAGAAAATGATCTAATCTGTGTAGTAGCACTAACCTTATTATCATGGCCCCTTAAAACACTCCCACACAAACTCACACACTGTAAAATGAGCTTAAAGTACATCCTCAACTACTCACTTCCTCACAGCTTACTTAAAGCCACAGTGAACAATACCAGAGCTCTGTCATTATACAACCCCCTATTAGTACTCATAGATCACTGCAACCGCCCAGCCAGCCTGCCTGACATACTCACTCACTCTGCAGAATCATGTTTGATGAGTGGCTGAGTCATGCAGACAAACCATTAATCCATTCATCTGACAGCTGTGGCAGAATAGCATACACATGCTGATGGTGTGTGGGTTTAAACAGCTGGGAGCCATCCACTGACCTGATACAGACTGGCAGACGTCACTCATATTGGAAACCTGGCATTGAAAGTGACAAGAGAACAGGCAAATTAGGCCTCTTTATTGGAAATCATTGTCCAGCCTTTGATTATTTTACAGACTGTCCCCGGCCTCTGTGGACATGTTGACTTACTACGCCCATGTGAATGCAAACTGCAGGCAGCTGAGTGTGGATTCAATCAATAGTAGCACACTTATTAGCAATGTATTTACCTATCCTGCTGAATGGTAGTATTGAGAATGACTGTTTAAATACAGGGTAGTGAAAGGAAATATCCTCTGAGTACAAGTAATCCGATTATTGACTGTACAATTAGATTTGAGAAAGGAGTAGAGGCTGTCGGCATGTCAGAGACACATAACTAAACAGCATTATGGCTCCTGATTATTAATAAGTGACTTAATAACATTGCTTTTGAAATGACTAACATTTAATAAGTGATGTATTTATTTTTTAATATGGTCAAACAAAATGACTTTTGAGATCTGAGAGGATTGCTTGACTACAACAGAGGGACGAGGACAGATGGTGAGGACCTAACTGACACACTGTATGACTAGATACACTATAAAACAATGACTCTCCCTCCCAGACTGCTGACTGGCTAAGCATGACGATTATAGTGGTCACCATGGAAACCCTTGAGAGTCCCCTAAGCTCCCAGAGACGGTTGCTGTGTGGACCCTGAATCCACAAGTGCCAAAATGCTCCCATTACCTCATCCTACACTGGGAACAAAATGAGATCTGAAAAGAAAAACAAAAAATTAACGTGGCACTTCAGACTTATGTATTGCCAGTCACAGGTCACTTCTTGGTACAGCGAAGAACACTTTATTAGAGGTTTGTGATACCATTACAGTCCTATATCACTGTCTGACTCCAGATGGACAGGTTTTTTTATCCCACACATTCTTCTTTTTGTCAAAACCTGGCATTTACATTACGCACAATGGAACGAACCGCCAACAGTTTGGTGGGAGAGTTGGGTGAGTTGTGCTAGTAGCACCTAATGTAGCTTCAAGCAGAGATCAGGTGTGGGCTACAGAGGTCTGGTAAGCTCACCTCTTTCTTACTACACACCCAGAAACCCACAGAAGTCTTTAGCCACAACTGATGCTGACTTAAGTGACATCACATCAAAGTCTCTTATGTCCTTTTTGCAGTGTTGGTGGTGCTTTTTGTGGTTGGTTTTGGACGGTGGTGATGTGTGGCTGAAAGTCACTCCCTGGGATGTGGAAATCAACCCATCAGTCTTTAAACTCTACTCCTGCTACTTCTGCTAGCTAACTGTTAGCTAGCCAGATCAAGGTTTTCAAATGTAACGTCAGTAAACAAGGAAAAGATGGAGATGAATGGGCACCAGCAAAACTAGCATCCTGTTTGCCTTTGTACAGGCGTTGGATGATAAACTGGATGATCTCCGTGCAGCTTCTGTTCCCAGTGGATATCAGCTGCAATATTCTTTGATTCACTGAAACTTGGCTAAATCTTGGACAGCGCCATTTAACCAGGTGACTCTTTTTCGATATGCTGATCCAACAGAGCATTCCTACTGTGAATCACTGCTTTACGCCTTGCAGAGGCAGCTGCAGAGTGAAGCCGCTGCCTGTGTTCAGGTGGAGCAACCATATGGTCATCTTGTTTAGGTCAGGATGTTTGGACAGTTAAATCATTTCACAACCAGAAACCATGGATCACCAGAACCATCTGGACAAATTAAAGCAGCAGCCAACAATATCCCTTTTTACACGGAGATCACACTTAGTGTGAGATAAAACATATGCAGCACTTTCTTAACAACAACGGCATTAACATGGCAATAAAAATCATTTTCCTGTTTATATGGCAGCTGATCTTGTCCTCTGCTCGGAGGGTAAGGAGCTCTAAGACCTCATTGTTTTCCCAATTTGCGGTCATTTTCAGCCCCTGTTGTTCCTCTTCGAGTTAGCTGCTGACTGCTATCAGCTACCTTTTTTTTAATCTCCTGCAGCAGGTCATACATAAAACAACTGTAAAAATGTCTTGCCAGCTGTCTCTTTTAAAGGACATTATCTCAGGGCTGTTACTACTTTCAGTGCTGGCTTAAGGCTTATTTATACTCCTTTTATATACAAAAATAGATACGGTATAGAAAATAGAATAGATTACATACACAAATACAGACAAAAGGAACGCAGAGTACAGATAGAAGGCTCTGATCGTCTCTGAATCTAACGTTGAGCATAAGTGAGCCCTAAAAGGCCAGATACTCTGTCTTCCCATTCCGCAGTTGTACCTTTTATACAAAACAGTGTGAAATTCTTGCTTTGACAGGCAGTGTAAAAGGGGCTTTGGACACATCACAGAGGGAAACCTCTTCGTTGGGGTCTAAGCCAACTCAAAAACTTGTAAGTAACGTAGACTCAACCTAACTTCTTTTGGCAGTTTCAGGTCCTTACCAAAATAACTACTATTGATGGTAACGTAAGATTCAGAGACACACAAAAGACACTGAGAAGCAAGTTTTTGGAAAAAACATCAATTTTTATTTTGAAATGACTGATCTTGTGCCCACTCAGTTTTCTTTCTTTTTCTTTTTTTTCATTATTTTTTTGAAAATCTCTTCTGCCAATGTCCAAGATAACAATGCTCTTAAAAATAAAATCAAAAGGTAAAATTCTTAAGAGAAAATAAAATTCATTTCAAAAACAAAAAAAAGGTACAAGAAAACATACATATTTTTTTGCAGGGGGAAGAGAGGGTTGAAACTAAATAAACTGAGATGCTACAACCGAGAAATGGCTCCTCCTGGGTTTGGACGATAAGCCCTGGCCCACGTTGTGATGAGCCATGAGCAGATCAAAGTCCCACCCCCATGTAAGAGCAATAGCCAATCACAGTGTAGTGTTCACAAGCTCCCATGATGCCCCTCTCTCCCTGGGAGGCTAAGGCAGTCAAACACAGTAGGTTATAGTAGGCATGGATACCTTTAAGTGGTAGACCGTGAGATGAAACACCAGAGGAAAAGATCTCCATTCTCAGAATCCTTTTCTGATTTTGGGAAACAGAGGTGCTGCTTAGGGTTCAATATATTAGTTGTTTCTCTGTATTTCTACGCCATAATATCTACAGGTAGAAAGCCTCCTGTAAGACCAAGATCGACCAAGAAATCTTTTCCATGTACTCTTCTACAGTTACTGCCCCAGTTATTAGTTATTGATCATGTCTAGCAAAAACTGGAAGGAGAAAGTAAAAAGTAGATCTAAATAAGGTTCAGAAATAATCCCACTCACAAAAAGACATGTTTAGACATATGATAAAAGGGATTCACAGCACAGAGCACAATTATAAAGACAGCAGGGTGAATTACAGTCTGTCTCAGGGTAAGATGTAATGGTTAACTTGAGGCTGTAATCCAAACACAGCTGTCTGGCTGGAGATGAAGAGGTGGTTTAATGTGTACTTAGCAGTATGACTCAAGATTACTCAAAGCAAGCCAGCAACCATTACCAAGGATATTGTTAGACAATGGAGATCATTTCCTCCTGGAGGTACAGTGTATCATGACTAAGAGCATGCTCTGGTGTTAAACACATGCCTGCAAGTAAAGAGGTTCATTTCAAAATGGTATTCTCGTCAGCAAACTCCTTCTTACAACATGACCCGTGATGAGCAGTTTTGAAGTGAAACCCTTAGTTTTTTTTTCTCCATCCTCATTACATGACATTATTCCGTGCAAACAGTGCTGAAGCCTTGATGTAACTTCCTATTGCTCAACTGCAGCCCAGCTGAGATGAAGATGAGCGTGAGATGTTGATGCACAGCACAGTAGATAACCAACCATGAGCTGACTGGGGAGAGGGCAGAGGCTAGGAGAAGAGAGGGCAGTTTGTGATCTTTATGAGTGCTTATATGCTTGCTTTTAACTATGCATCTGTGTGTGCATGATGGCTACTTTGCACAGTCTACGTTTGTGTTGATTGTGCGTATCCTCAGAAATCACTGCCAGTGTAGACACTTCAGTGTATGCAGACACCCAGTATAGTAACAGGCCACATCAATGCCCACCGTCAGTCCATTTCTGGACTAGATCCAGGCCTTAAAGGGACTGTTTGACATTTTGGGAAGTGTGCTTTTTTTGCATTCTTGTTTATTTTAGGTAGATGAGAAGGTCGATACCACTCTCATATCCCTCTGTTCAATACGAAGCTATAGCCAGCAGCCACTTAGCTTAGCTAAGCAAGAATTTCCTGAAGTATTCTTTTAACAACACATTAACGTCCTTGAGTTTCATCTTGTCAAGGTTTCTTTATGTGTGCAAAGTCTCTTGGAGGATATTCACCCAAGGATAAGGATAAATTGGTCCTGATCTGCCCCCAGATGTACTGGGAATGTACTTTTTAATCTTCCACATGCACAAACCGATGCAAACAAGCATGTGAAAGATTCAGCTCACGCACACTTTTTGAAAATCAAGCATATAAACACACCCTAATGCCAATGTTATAATTTTTGAGGTGCACCAATAGCATCTGAACTCCTTGGAACTGTCCCAGTTCACTCAGTAACTACATGTGTTTTTATCTACTCTGAAACTGTTGTTGAGAGTAAATTAATAGCTGTTAAACTAGTGGGGGGAAAAAGAATGTTCTGATTTCTAATAAACCATTATTGGGCATTTTTAATTGATCAGTATTTGAAAGGCTTACACTGGTTCTACAAACTGCTCTTGGTGAAGCTCTGCTTTGTTTATGTGAGAATTTCCCTTTTTCTCCATCGTACCCTGCCCTCTCTCCAAGAGGTAGCAGCCCTGCCCAAACCCCCCCTTCTCCCACTTACTCCAAAATACCCCACCCTAATCACACCCGACACCCCTAACCCCAACCCCAACCCTTCCAGTGGACCATGGCACTTCTCTACTCTGCCTGAGCATCGTAGTTGGCTCCACCAGCCTTCTTCAGCTCTGTGCGGATGTTGTCTGCATCCAGTTCCCTCAGCTCACTAAACGTGAACTCCTTGGCAAAGTTCTGCAGAAACAAAACAGTTCAGAAAACCAAAAGTTACTTTTCATTTGTTGCAGAATGGGAAGAAACCAAGACATGTAATGGGTGATGTTTTACATTGATTTTTGTACAGATAGCAAAAATAAGACTCTTTTTCTAGTACTTTACAGCTTTTTATACTTGCGACAGACCCATTTCACAGAATATCTTTATGTGTGAAAAGGAGAGCTTGCCTTAGTGTCATTTATCCAGTTAGTTTTCCCTTTTATTTTTGCACATGTGTACATTTGCTTTAACACAGGTAGCATCCTTGACAGAGTTAGCCGAGATATGCTATTTCAAATTAGTTGCCGATTTTGACTCTGTGTTTAGTTTCTTATTTTTCCCACCACTACATCTTGTCTTCATATCATCAAGTGTTCAGATGGTTTGTTGTTTTTCAAAATCCTATTCCATCAGACTGTACACAGCACTCTGTTACCATATTGCCCCTGGGACCATCCACTTTCCCCAAACAGACCATTACAGCTTCAAGCTCTTTTAATCTCATGATGACAAACATAACTTTAATTGGTACTGTCTCAGCATGCAACACCACAGAGTCACTGACCTGCACAATCTCTTTGACCAGCGCTTTGTCGGTGCTGATCTTGGCGCGCTGCAGCCCACCGACGTTCTCACCAATCCAGGTGATGAGAGTGAACTTGGCCCGTTTGCTCATGGCGTCTCCCGTCGTGATCCGGACAAAACCAAACAGACGAGAGTCATCTGAGGGAGGAGTTGAAGAAGATTATGTAAGACTGAACATACAGAATGAAGGTTCTTACAGCTAGTATTTTAAAATGTTACACAATTCAACACACCCTACTAGAAGATGCACACACTCTCCTGTCCAGTCAGAGGCTTACACACAAATGGCACTCTGTTGTTGTTAAGCTGTACTAACTGACCTCCTGTCATGCTCCATTTTTCCATCTGCTGATAAAAAAGGCTTCACAATTGTGATTTCATAGTGTCACTTTGTGTCATGATGATGTGTAAATCTGGTGTAGCATCAAGTGTTACAAAACTGCATTGTGTGTTTGTAAGGCAGTGAGCAAAGAGTTTCACTATTGTAGTGCAGATGAATACAAGGTTCTGCTTTTTGTAGTTCACCTTCAAAGTGTGTGTGTGTGTGTGTGTGTGTGTGTGCGCGCGCGCGCGCAACAAGGAAATATTCAGGTCAACAGACTAAATGAGTAAAATCTTTTGTGAGCCTTGCAGTTGTGTCAGAATGCTCCCAGTGGCCACGCCTGTCACTCTCTCGGTGGTCCACTGCAGACCTGACTGTCTGTGAGTAATGTCTCCATACATGTAACAAGGCTAAAAAAAAAAAGAAAGAAAGAAAGAAAGAAAAGAAAAACACTTCTATGGCTTTTCTTCCAGACTTTTTTTTTTCTAACTGTTCAGGCCTCTAAGTCCCATTCAAATAAAATAATGTGAGGGGAACAGTCTTTAGAGTGGACTGCTCACAGAAATATCCAACAAGAGCAAAACTGAGGGCATGTATTTTTCTATCAAGAGAAACAACTCAAATCAACCAGACACCCTAGTTAAAGGAGAGGTAATAAATATTGCCAAGAACTTAAAACATTTAGGTATAATCACTGTTTCCAACGTAAATTTTAAGAAACAAAAAAGGTCTTCAGAAGTGTCAGAGCTAGTCTAATGAATTTTAGACATATTACATACCAACTGCCTCAGGCCACTGCTAAGCTCTTTAAGCACTCAATGATTATCCTCCTTTTATCTTACTGTGCAATAAGCTGTTCTTAGGCAGCTGTGACTACGCTGAAATCATAAGACGTGAAAACTCTTGCAAAACTAGAATTACCCAAATGTAGTCATAATTAGCAAATTAATTCAGTTATGGCCAAAAACATGTTTTGTAAGGTCACAGTGACCTTGACCTTCAACCATCAAATGTTTATCAGTTTTGTCAGGCGCGGCTTCTGTTAAATAAACTAATAAACTCAACGATACATGTAAAGAGGGGTCACTAGTAGACGGAAATTGCCTACAAAGGATAACACATCAATAAGATTAGAAACCAAAGATATCAGGCAAAGCCTCCAGTTGGGGAGTTAGGGTATGTATTGGAATTCTCCAGAATAACCACTATATCACCCGTAAGTGTTATGAATATAACACTGGCCTCTATCAGTGATATTTGGCATATCCAAATGGATAAAGTAGTTGTAATATGGTCATCATACTGGACAGGGTGGCATGTAAAGTCTTATGCACTGGTGGGTTCTACACGCATAATACTGACTTGAAAAGAGTGCTTGTTTTGCAGAACACATTTTACTCTAATTCAAGTAAAATACATATACTTCTACTCAGTTACATAGGACTACAAACTTCTTGCTAGCTACTTTTACTGCTACATTTAGCTATTAATAATTGTTATATTCTGCTGAGCTCACATGCACGACAGCGATTATCCAACAGCGAGCAATAAGACAGCCTGTACACATGTACACACATCAAGTACACTGCACCCAAGCCTCTCCTTTAAGGATTCAGTAACCGCTGGATTCTACTGGGTGCAGCTGCAGTGGTGAGCTGGAGCTGATTGCGGCCACTCCAAACAATGCCTGTTACTTCACCAAACGCGCCCCAGCATGTTTCAGGTTGCTCTGCTAGTCTTTGTTTTGTTTTGAAAGATTAAACAGTACACAACAACACATACTTTGTCATTTCTCCAATTCTGGATATGGAACTTTAATGACAATTTACATACACGTCAAATTTTAGCTTAAACTCTAGTCAATGTAATTGTAAAGAGTGACAAAATATGTATGTCAATGACTATTTTTCAATGACTAAGACAAGTTAACGACAACACAGCAGCTGCATTTCCTCTGCTGTGTGCTCGGAGAAACTTACTAATTGACTTACTTATTTACTTACTTACCTACTTGCTTAAAAGCACTTGGCCCCAGGCTAGTTGTTTAATAGTTTAATAAGTGTTGTCTTTCCTGGTTTAAAAGCTGTATTACAACAAAATTATGTAATTTTCTGAACTCAACAGACTGTTTAAGCTGTTCTCTTATTTGCCCTCACCCAATTAGTTATTATATCCATATTACCAAAAATCTTATGGTGTAAATATTTTTGTGACACCACCAATAGTCACCCTACAATATTGTTGCAACATCGATATGACAATATGTGGTCAAAAATATAATGATATTTGATTTTCATCATATTGCCCAGCCTTACCTTATGTTAGTCAAGTTGGCTTTTGTCTGTGAATTCAAGGGTCTTTACTAGTGGCAAAAAAAATGCCAACAAAATACTTCAGTATTCAAGTCTATCATAATAATGTCCTTGTTAAAAACAACAGATTCTGTATGTAAACGATTTTCTTCTGCTAAAATTTAGCAAGTATAACCAGTGGTGCACAGTTACTATCTGCAAATGGCTAAAGGTGTTTGATAAATCTCTCTATTTACATTGTGCACCTGCCATCACATGATCTAACAGCTGTCATATTGGCAGACAGAAAACGCACTACTCTCTGACCTGCAAGAAAATAACTGCATGTATACTGACAACCATAGAGGAAGCGATAGTTTTTGTGGTTCAGCTTGGAGCCCACAGAGCTGACAAGGCTTTGCAGTGATCATTTTCTAAATGATGACTTTCAGATTTCCCCCCTAGACACAGACACAGACACACACACACACACACACACACACACACACACACACACACACACAGAGTCACCTGATTCAGCAAAGTCAAGGAAGGTGCACTTTTTAGTTTTTGGATTTGGATTTGTAAAAATTATAGAGAAGGTGTAGTATTAAAGTGAGCTGAGAAACACAGGCGACACATGCGATTACATAACTTTATTTTATACACAAAGTAAGCAGAACTTTTTTCACTGTCTTTTCTGCTCCTTCAGGCAGTACGGTGCCATTTAGGTTCCATTCCTTTGTAGATGATACTTAGCTTTACATCTGTGCCTGACAGCTGTCATCAGCAGGTAAAACTGGACAAATGTATGAGAAATCAAATGATTGATGTCATCTAACTTCCTTCTTTTAAATGCTGAGAAAACTGAAATAAAAACTTTTGGTCAAATGCAGATCGGAAATAAATTGTCTGATCTCACTCTGAATATAGCCAGTTCCACAATTTCACAAACGCCTTCTATTAGAAGCCTCAATGTCTCATTTGATCCTAACCTCTCCTTTGGAAAGCATATCAACAATAGTACAAAGACTGCATATTTCCACTTATAAAACATTGCCAAGATTCGTCCCATTCTATCAATGCCTGATGCTGAAAATCTTGTTCATGCATATGTTTCATTTAGGCTTGACTACTGTAATACACTTGTCTCTGGCTTTCCTAAATCAAGTATTAGCAAACTATAACTTCTACAAAACACTGCTGTTAACCGAATGTAGAACATTCAAACATATTACACGTTAATATTCCATTACATATTGCATACATACATATTGTTTCCCCTACCACCTGAAAAGCAGACAAAAATATCTGCATTTTTTAAACGCTCCCAGAGTGGTGAAGATGGTGAAGAAGAAATGTTTCAATGTTTAGTTCAATGTACAGTTAAAATAATAGTTAAGTTGTTATATTGACTGCTGTCATTAAACACATGAACATTTTTGTATTTAGCTAAAGCTGCTCATTACTGTTTTTAGTGTATGTATTGTATTCCATTTGTAATTCTCTGTATGTCATTTATCTCACTTCTGTATGTTTTTTTTTGTGCTTTCCTAATGTTGCTAACTGCTGTTTTTATTACATGTACAGCCCTTTGCGAACTGAGTTGACTACTTAGTATTGTCTTCCCAGTGTTCCTGCCTCTGTGTGACTGGCAGAAACTCTGTATACTCTGACTATGAGCTGTAGGACAAAAACCTTCTTACTTCCTCAACAAAGCAATCTAAGCACTGACAGAAAGATCGTTGACACTCATGTTTCATCTGGAATTAACATCCATACTGAATTAACAACACACAAAATCTTTGTGTAAATCCATTTAACACATACTGAAGATCTATAAAGTTAAGCGACTGATGACTGGTGGGAGCATGTGACTTGATCAATGAATTGGCCTAAAGTCTGTTTTCCTGCAGTAACACCACTGCAGTACACCACTGACTGACAGAAACCCAGCCAAAATCATTCACTGTTACTTTTAAAGTTCCACCAGACAGCATTTTTATGAAACATCACCCTAAACCTCAAAGTGGAGCAGCAACAGTGAGGAGCAGGACGCAACAACATCACACATCAGCCAGTCTATGAAACATGAGCACACTGTTTGCAGCTCACTGCTGGAGGGATGGATGTATTCATCATTGTAAGTGTGTGTTTCTTAGCAATTTACTGATTCATTTGTAGAATTAATTTTGACATTCGCTTAATCATTCAAGTCATTTATGTCATCTTCACTTTGATACTTCAGGATTTTAGAATGCTGGAAAATCTGAAGTTGTCCTCATGTCACCTGTCTGAAATTTTATTGACTAAAGGAGGAGCATACGGCAAATCAATATTGCACTTCCATAAACCTGAAGTACTTAAAAAGGCCAGTTTAAAAAGGAATGATCAAAATTGAGGAAGCAGAGGCCAAGATTTCCTGACTTTCCTGACTCAATGGAGTCTTTCTTAAGACCCTCTGTCATGTCCAAGAAGTTAAGTTAGTTATTTTTAGTTCTGTCTTGTGTCTATGTTGTCTCGTG